TCTGAAACCTAATTCTGAGTTGTCTGAACTGTCTGTCTAAACTTCAAAGGCCAAGAAATTAGGGTTCTCAGCACAAGAGTACAGATATGTTCATGCTGTGTTCAAGGGCTCAAACACCACTTCACAGAAGACCCTGCTTATTATATTAGATAAAAGCAGTGAAGATTCCAATCAGTTCTTGATGACCTAGAGAAACAGGGGGCTCAGGAAGTAAGGCGTAAACACATACATATGCTATGCTCTAAGAATACACAAAGTTGTTCTGGAGAAAAGCAGAGAGAAAAGAAAGAGCGAGATGCTATTAACGGAGCACAGAGATTCCCACCGGTCAGTCCACGCAGCCCAGTGCCATCGGACACCCGAGACGCAGAAGTGGCACACACAAGAGAGAGTATCAGCTCTGCTGTCAGGCCATACTGCCTCAGCAGACTGCATATGATCCAGGCTGAAGAAATCACCACCTGGATGTTATTTTATACCTCTGCAGCCAGCGCCTCGGGTCTTTTTCTTTTAAAGGCTATTTCTCCAATAGCTTTCCAAGGAGCTTATCTGATAGATGAGGGCACGTGTGGATGTTTACTCACAAGTCCTACTGGGCATAAGCTGGCTTATGCTGAGACTAGTAAGATGCATTAGCATCCATCGTGCAGTTAAACTGCGATCAAGAGGTCAATCCTGAAAAATCAAAAGCTAGCGGACTCTAAGGATTTCAGTCTTCTGCTAGAGCCACAGTGAACGGTGTATGCCAGGAACTGTTGTTGCTACTTGAGATTTCAGTTCAGGTTTCAAATTGCTCTTTACAGAACACCCCAAGGGACACACCGTGTAAGTACTGCTCAGATTCACTGGAGAGATGCTGAAGGTTTTGAAGGGGAGAGTGCCACTTTTGTTAGCACCAGTCACACACATTTACCCATTTTCTGGCAATATAGCAACTGTGGAGCCTGCCATTCAGATGGGGCTGTGTTTGCTCCTATATCTTCCCTTCCAATTCCCCTCTATGGCCTTACCTCTGCTGAGCAAACCCTGATCCTTGGGAAGTCCCTGTGCAACTTCTACCCGGCTTACACAGGTGAGCAACTTCTACCTGGCAACCTCAACTGAGGGCAGGGAGCACAGCTCAGGGAGGAGGAGGACGGTCCTGTATAGACATTTGGAATGCCCACCTGCATGATGTCTTGAAGGCTTTCAGTGAAGGACAGCTCGGCCTCCACCATATAGAACTCTGCCAGGTGCCGGCGACTCTGTGAGTTTTCCGCTCGAAACGTTGGGCCGAAGGTGAACACATGGGTAAAAGCCCTGCAAGGCAACAAGAAACTGGTATGTCAGGCCCAGCACAGAAGTGAGTCTGTTATATGTAAAGCCTCATCCACAAGCAAACTTTTCTCCCGGGATCGAGAAGCACTCATGTTTCCATTTCATCTTCAACCAGTTTAATGGCACTGCTGGGTACGCTGCCATTACACTGCTTCAGCCAGGCATTAGGAGGGGTTATGAGACACAGCAAGGTTGCACAAACCTTGTTCAGCTTTCACTGAACACTATTCATGCTCAGGACACTTTTTGTAGCTGTCTGGGAATAAAAAATGACATTCTGCAGACCCGTATCGCTGGAGAAGCACCTGGACATTACACCAGTCAGGCTCCTCTCATCCAACTCCCTTTGCCTTTGTTTGGCTGCACGGTCCGACCTTTACGGATGCTGTGACCCCCCAGAAGCCAACAGAGCAGACAGGGGCCTGCTGCTGGAGTTGCTGGGCTGGTGTCAGCACTCCGAGGGGCTGGTGAAGTCTGTACAGGACGGATGAAGGGTGCACAGTTTGCAGTCCCCTCTAGCGGCAAGACCAAAGTTTATCACCAAAAGAGCTTTCAAGATAATGAACTGGGCTCCTTCCACACAGCTAAAACCAGTTCAGCTACAAGGGGTCCCTACTGCAGAGAACACATCTGGAATATCATTTTATGCCGAAGCAACCAATGCATTTCCTATTACGACACTATTTCATAGAATCATAGAATCATAGAATGGTTTGGGTTGGAAGGGACCTTAAAGGTCATCTAGTTCCAACCCCCCTGCCATGGGCAGGGAAACCCTCCACTACACCAGGTTGCCCAAAGCCTCATCCAACCTGGCCTTGAACATTGCCAGGGATGGGGCAGCCACAACGTCTCTGGGCAACCTGTTCCACTGCCTCACCACTCTCAAGAGGGAAAAATTGCCTTCTTATATCTAACCTAAATCTGCCCTCTTTCAGTTTAAATCCTTTGCCCCTTGTCCTATTACTACACGCCCTTGCAAAAAGTCCCTCTCCAGCTTTCCTGTAGGCCCCCTTTAGGTACTGGAAAGCTGCTATAAGATCACCCCAGAGCCTTCTCTTCTCCAGGCCGAACAGCCCCAACTCTCAGCCTGTCTTCATAGCAGAAACCTTCTGGGGAGCCTATTTAAATACATCCTCTCCTGTTGTGCAGTCACGTCACACTGCGTTACACGGGATACAAAAGCCTTCTTCATTCTTCGCTTCCTTCGTAAGAATCCTCCCTATCAAACAGCAACACACCTTTAAAAGCTTTATTTTCACCGTGGGGAAGCTGCACTCCAAGCAATACCTTCTACACTGCGGGCTATGAGCACTTGGGCTCCTGGATATCCTCAAGCCAGCGAGAGCTTCCCAAACAGATGCTGTGACAGCTGTGTTTCCTCTCATGCTGCATGGGAAGCAAACCATGATTGGGGAGAGAGTGAGCTGCTTCAGAAAAAACATGAGCTGGGCAGCTGCTGTCTTTGGTGCATTTTTAACTTGACATTATTTTTAGCTGTAGACTGCATGTAGGAGAAAAAGAACCTGATCAGTAGAGATCAAGCACAGTTCAACACTCATGAAAGGACACATGCTAATTGCTGGGGCTGGCATTTGACTTGCGTCTTGCTCTGCAAGCTTTCAACTTCAAGAGGACGTGCGCTGAAGTTTCTGCACAGGCTAATTTTGTTAAACTGAAGTTTAAATAAACAACGTTACAAAAAGCAGCATTTTTCCTTTGCCCCTTATGGAAGCATCTGCATGGCAAATAAAGGAACACACACATTCTGCTTCACTCATCTGTTCCCTCGTGTCACATGATGGTTAAAGGTTATGATCCAAAGAAACAGCACTTTCTTTTTCCTTGAGTTCCTAGTAGTCAACACACCAGAAGAAAGCTCCAGGTCAAGACTCTGAATCTGTGGCCTGCCTGTAGGTTTTGTTTCCCCACAAAAAGCCTGTAGGTTTTCCCGCTTTCCCTGCTCCAACAAATACGCTTTCTGTCTCTACTTTGCTCCCGTACCTGCACTCTCTCGTACATGACCACAGTATCTATGACGCTAACCAGATTTTGCAGCAAATATCTTTCTTCAAGCACCATCTTCACCATGTCTCTCTTCCCTCTGCTGCCCTTCCCGCTTGCTGCGATGTTACTGCAAACTTTGCCGTCACTCGATCATCCTCCTTCAAGCTGCCCTTTGCTATAGTGTCTATAAAACCTCAGCAATGTTTAGATAAGTGATGCACCAAGACTATTACTCACTGCACAGGTCAGTATTATCTCATCAGTTCCTTGTGCTCTCCCATCTGCAGCCATCTGTTGTCTTGGGTTATACAGAAACGCATGTTCTTCCTCACAAGGCCTTTTTGTTGTTTGGTTGGTTTTTTTTTACCATGTTCCTACAGCACCTGGCACAACAAGGTCTTGGATCCAAAGCTGAAGAGCCTCAACTGCTATAGCAATACAAACAACAAATATGAACAATGAGTCACTTGGCCGAAATTTTTCAATGTTTAAGGCAGAACTGGTCAAAAACTTTTGCTTGCAAGGCCACGGAGGTTGGCCTGCAGTGGGACACAGGAGATGCAGGTTCTTGTGCTACCTGTGCCCATGTTTCAGGATTTTGCTAAAATATTTCAATTTGAGGCTCTTTAGTTAAAGAAAGAATTTTCCCTAAACAAATGAGTTTTCTCACAAGTTCAGATTGTGACTGGGCCAGGACTGGACACAAGACAAAAATATTTTGAAAAGCCACTCAGGTCTCCTCGGTTTGAGGTGCAGGTCTCCAATTTCTCATTGACTTGAAATCCTCAAAGTGACACTTAAAACCAAAGCATAATACCAGCTGGCTAGCAGGAGATCCTGTCCCACAAAGCAACAGTCTGGCTTCAGTGAGAGACGCACTTCTCAGCAGCTGTCCGGGCACAGGCACTGATGCTTCATAGAATCATAGAATGGTTTGGGTTGGAAGGGGCCTCAAAGATCATCCAGTTCCTAATCCTCCTGCCAAGGGCAGGGACATCCTCCACTACAGCAGGTTGCTCAAAGCCTCCTCCAACCTGGCCTTGAACACTTCCAGGGATGGGGCATCTACAACGTCTCTGGGCAACCTGTTTCAGTGCCTCGCCACCCTCAGAGTGAAAAACTTCTTCCTTATATCCAATCTAAATCTCCCATCTTTCAGTTTAAAGCCATTGCCCCTTGTACTATCACTACATGTCCTTGTAAAAAGCCCCTCTCCACCTTTCCTGTAGGCCCCCTTTAAGTACTGGAAGGCTGCAATAAGATCACCCTGGAGCCTTCTCTTCAGTTACTGTAGGTTACTGTGGCAGATGACAGTCCCCAGCAATGCAGGCTACTATGAGCACTTTGAACTGTATTTATTTCCTACTGAACAGCAGCCCAAGCATGATGACTAGTTGCTTATCTTCCAAGAGGTTTCCTGGCTGTCAGATACCTAAAAGTAACAAAAAATAAAAAATAAACCTTATTGCTCCAAGATGTCAACTGTGGTCAAGCACTTGACAGTCACAGATTGATTTTGTGCTAAAAGAATAAAGCCTCTCTGTGCCTGAGACAGAGCTTTTGGGGAGGACAAGTGCAGAACAACTCCCACAGGAACCGATTTCAGTCTTTCCTCAGCTCAAGGCATCCTGTTGGTACCCATCTTCTCTAACTTGTACAGCGAGCACCACCTACGTTTACAAAACAAACCATTAGCACTGCAACTTCAACAACAGCAGGAGTGAGGGCTTTGTAATAGCCTGGAGAGAACCTGTCATCACTGGTATAGGGCTGAATTTGCCCACCTGCCCCTTAGAAGAAGGAAAAAAAAAACCCACCAAATCCCAAACCCCAAATAACCCCACATCTGCAGGGAAGGGAGGAATCGTTAATTTCTCAGGCTAATTGTAAAGGAAAAAGATAGATACAAATAACTGTGAGAACTTCACCGCGATCCTGGGACCCTGGCAAAGGGAAACTGGCCAGATGTCATGCTGGCAAAGCGATCAAAGCAGCGCAGTAAATTCGAGTCATCTGGTAACAGCAACGCAGCACTGACCAGAGAGGCCTGGATGTAACGGAGAAGCGCAGCTAAAAATACACACAGTCCCTGTTACCGACCCCAAGCATGAACAATTCTTTTTCATCCAGGCATTCATTTGCTGTTTACTGTGCTCTGCCCTTCAAGACACTAAGTAAATGCATGCAACACAAATCCGACCTTTATTTGTACTTCATCCGCTCTTAAAAAACATACGCTGCCATGTCACACTGAGCACGGATAAATGTATTTGAAAAGAGGGACGGGAGCTGACTCCGCTCCCGTTTCGTGGTACTGAGGGCAAAACCAGTCATTTTGTTCTGTGTGCATTCAGCACCTAGAACAATGGAACCTCAGTCCAGGCTTTGACTCCTACGCTCAAATAATTCATCATTTAACATCCCCAGACCTCTGCAAGACTTTCAGCATTTAAAAATAACTTGAAAATTCTGGCTGAGTCTCCAAAAGTGCCTAGGTCAGTTGGGGTTGTGGGCACTCGAGAGTCTTTAAAAAAAGAAAAATCAATCAGTAGTGCTTGTTCCTCATCTCCAACAAAAGCACACACACAGGAAAAGGGGGAAAAAAAAAAAAGCAAGCTCAATAATCTGTCAAGCCCTTTTCCTTAGCCATCACAGGCAGAGCGGTAACGTCTGTAACGCTGTCCTTGTACGTGCCACCAAAGAACACAAGAGAGGCTTTGAAACAGTCCCTTTGCAGCCGGCTTCACCCACATCAGAGCTCTGCACAACAAGCCCGAGCGCATTTATGCAGTTCACAGGCGCTGCCGGGGTCGACACCAGAAGAAGGCACGGAGCCGCTTAATTAATTGCTCCCTTTCTGGGACTGGAGTTTGCTCTGCTCAGTTCTCTGGGAAAACGTGAGAGCTTAACGTGGAGGCCAAGAGAATACCCACAGCGCTCCCTCCGACATGCAGAAACCCTGCAAAAGCTATGGCCCCATCCTGCACAACGCTGTGTCCTTGTCCTGGGCCACCTTCTCTTAGGTACAGGCTCGCGGGAGTCCCTTGGGACGCAGACAGCAGCACCCGGATGCGTTGCTGGAGCACAGCCGTCCTCCGCACGGACGATCGCTTGGTGGAGGCTCATTTTTGCGCAGGCTGCGTTTGTCATCTCCACCCTACGAACACCCAGGAAGGGAGAAACTTCCCCCTTTTCAGTCTTATTTTACATGCTACTAAAACCTTCTTTGGAATCAGCTCCCTCTCCCCCTTTGAGAGCTTTACGCCACGCGGAATGAAAGCTCGTTTCATCTGAACTCGTTGACAATTCATTATTGAGGCAGTGATAGAAACCAACAGAGAAGTATAAAGTGTCTGTGCCCAAAGCTGCTTAAAATCATCCTTTTAATTAAACTCGCGCAATGTTTGTAGGTCTGAGCGTCTCTGCCTCACTGGCAATTTTTACACTGCAATCCAGATATAATTAATTGTGCCGATGGTTCCCAAGCCAGGAATGGATTGTGCTTCTTTTCTGAGCCAGGACTCCACGCTGCTACCAGGGTAATAAAGACTTATTTGTGCTGTCGAACCAAGGGGATGTAACTCCCAGCAAAGCTATTAATCAAGAAGATGCGATCCCTCGCACAGTCGGCTTCCAGCCCATGCCAAGGTCACACCACACGGTAGCGACACAGCTGGAGGCAGAAGCTGGTTGGTGTGACTCAGGGCTAAGCACTAAACCACACCAGTACACACAGCTATTCGTTTGTACAGTTCTTCTTCTCACCCCAAAATACTACAGGAGCGTAGCTTTGTCAGCCACATTGTCCTTTCCCTTAGGAAAGGAAGAAATCAACAAAGTGATTTAACATGATTTAATTCCGCTCTGTTCCAGCATGACCATACTCATTTTGAGCATGGAGGACCTGCCTGCTCCACCAAAATTTTCTCCACCGACGACTCTGCTCCGCTGCCAGGAGACACCAGTTGGCCGCAGTGCTTGACCCAAGCGTGACTGGGATTCCCCAGGGATGCTGAAATTTGTATGTTGAAAGATGTTCTGGCCTGACGCAAGAAACCACACGCACACAGACAACCATTCAAACGTACCAAACCAATGCCTCCAGGGTCTAGTTTTTGGAGGAGCTGGAAACTCAGGGCTCCTAATGATGCTAAGTGAAGTACAGGTGCCCAGCAGTTTGGAGAAGAGGCAGAATGCTTTATATCCTGTAGATTGTGTTAAAATAAAACTTCAGAGTTGGACAGAAACCCCTGGTTTTTAACCTCAATGTGAAAATAACACTCCCATTAGTATTGTTTGGATTTTGCACTAAGAAAATGTAAATGTTTCTGTTGAAAAGGTCGCAGAGGGGGCTGAATTTTATCCACAAAAAAAAGCAGAAAAAGGAGTTTTAAAAGACTCCTCATAGAACGTGCCACTCCTCTCTGCCCTCTGAGAAAGCACAGATGAGAAAAGCTGCATTTGACAAGGACCTTTCTATAAGTACATGAGGCTCAGGCCTGGGCAGCACAGCTGCTATACTGAGTGCGAAGGTTTCGATTCACGCTGCGATGAGATGGGTCTGTACTTCCTTTTGTAAGCAGCCAAAAATAAATACATAAATTAAAGAAAAAAAAAAAACAACACGCTGTCTAAGTTCCCAGACAGGGACTGGGAAGTGCCAAACTTCCCCCCCAGCCAGCCAGACTGAAGCAACGCAGCAGTTTCCTTCGCTGCAGCCTCCAAAGGGCAGAGTCCTGCCATGCCTGCAAGGTCGCGTGCGCAGCATCCCTCTCCTGCCTCGCTCCAGGACCAGCTCTCCCCCTGCCACGTCCTCTGCTCCGGCTTCAGCGGCAAGAAAAAGAAGATGATGGGACGAAGATCCTCCCCAAGTCAACCACCCCTGCTCAAAAATGATCCGGGCAATTAACAGCAATGTGACCCATGTACCCTAATTAACTGGCAAAGCACCCCGCATTTTTATTATTTTGTTTATTAAACCCCAGGGCACACCTGGGCGCTGTATTGTCAGTTTACAGATGGCAGGAGAATAGGGAAAAGGAAATCGAGGCACAAAGGAAACGAGGTTAGCCAGAGCCATACAA